CTTGAACTCCGTAAACGTCTCCCCATTTGGCCTGATTGAAGCAAAGCGGGAGGGGGCCCAGCTGAACTATACACACACTCACACCTTCTTCGGTTGCTGATCTGTCAAGGAGAGAAACGGGATTGAAATGCATCTCCTATTGACACCTGCTTCATAAGCTAAGGGGGGACTATTTCAGCTATGTCCCCGGTCTTGGGGGCCTACCACCCCACAGCCTCTCGGGCCTCAGGATGCAGCCAGTGTGTTTCTACGAGAGGAGCTGGGAGAGGCTGGGGCTGTCAGAGAGCTGGTTTCAGCCCCATCTCCGAGGGACCCACTGGTGCACGAATCCATGCACTGGGCCTCTAGTTTTATATAAAGGACTTGAGCATAAGGGGGTTTTGGTATCCACAGGGATCCTGAAACTAACCCTCCCCACAGATACCAAGGAATGGCTGTGATACGATTTGGGGAAAACAAAATGTATATGGAGATTTTCAACATGAGTCAATATCCTCAACCCTCACATCAGCCAAGGGCCAACTGTATGTAGTTAACTTTTTAAAAAATCCATACTTTGCAATTCTTATTCATATATACCCCCCTCCCAAGCATTGTTATCTATTTTATTTTGTATTTTTGTGGGAATATATTTTCACAAGCATTTAAATTCATATGCTTGTATACAAACTGGTTTTTTACCTCTATATAAACATAGACATATGTGTAGGATGACATTTACCTAAAATGAATAGTGCATAATTTTGTGGTTAGGAGATTTAATATAATATCTATAACTTTTTTATTTTGTCTTGTATTCTTAAGTGCTTAAATTACCTATGATGAGCATATACTCTTAAAATTTTTATCAATAGAAAACATAATATAGTTATTACACTTGTTTTCAAATGATTTATGTGATCAACATTTGATAGAACTGTAATTAAAGACAGCGGTGGCCTTGTATGACATGAAGTGATGAGCGCTTCTCAGTTACCAGTGACCAGATCGCGATGCCCTGTCAGGCAGTCTTCTCTATAGACCTAGCTTATAATGGACCATGATGAGATCAACGTTGTCCCATGCTTTCCAACGTCGTAACTCTGGCTGTTATAGTAATTGGTCAAATAACAACTTTCTTCAATCTCTAGACTAGAGCTCAGATAGTTTACCTTCTTAAATATTGGTGAGCCAGGACAGGGCATGTCCCAAGAGGTCAGCCCCCAAGGCAGACAGCTCACATCTGCTGCTGTGCATTGCAGCTCTGGCTCTCAGGAGCCTGCTCTTCACGTCTGTAAACCATGCAAGTCTCGCCCAAGAAGTGAAAAGATACACGTAGTAAATAGTGTTCGTTTTTATTTTTTTCGTATGCTCCATTAAAAAAGATACAGTTTTATTAGTATTACGTTAATAAACTTAAAGAACAAGGTGACAAGTTATTGCCACGGATATTAATTTATATTTACAAACATCCACCAAAACAATAAAAAAAAATGAAATAAATATATTTACATTTCATATTTCTGGTATTTCCTTTTATTTTCATATGTATAAAATATATAACATTTACAACATTTTATCTATCTTCCAAAGTAACTTCCAATGTGCAAAAAAAGTGAGTCATAATTGTAAAGTATGAAGGAATCAGAATAAATCATAAATCACAGTTTTAGAGGGACAAGGAGAGCTCATGAGTACAGAAGAGGTAAGAGTGGCAAACTGCTTGTTTTTAATGTCAGAGCATCTACACTTACCTTAAAAAAAGGAAAGCACAAGATTGCCATTGTGCTTTTAAGGTTCTCCATTCTGCTGATGTCTAGCAGTAATTCTGAATCCTGAAATCAGTATTTTTCACAAGAACAAATCAAGCTTTTCTCAAATCCAGCATTCAAAGTAGACAAAAGTGTATGAGCAAGCATTGTCATCCATGAGGGAAATGTCAATGTACAAATTAATGCTTTCTCTGCTTCCATGGTTATTATGGACTTGACATTTATTTTTAAGTAATTACTTTTCTACTTGCTAAGATGACAGTTCTGCGAGCAAAGGCTTTCAAACTATAAGTTGGCGTAAGCCTGGAAAATGGGCAATAAATTACTAGTTGATTATTCTCCCTTAAAAAGTGTTGGATGATGTATGTTAGGCTACCCATTATACTTACATTATCTACGAAAGTAGTTTTAAATAAAGATTTGTTCCAATATAACAAATATAAAATGCCCCTTTCATTTACTTCAGCTTAAATTAATTGTGTTTTTTTTTTTAAATCAAGCAAAGTACATTATTATAGTAGTTAGCAAAATTGGAAATACTTAAACTCCCTTATCTAACCTTAGTATCTGTAATACAATATTCTCTTTGAGCTTGCACTATGTACAATTATAAGGAACCCTTTAAAAGTGTGTATAAATACATACACATGTATACATACAAACATATGTATACATGCATCATGTACACACACACACATACCAAGGCACTGGAGGGGTTAACACAAAATTAAACATTCTGCTGTCAAAATATTCTCTAGTATGAACTAGGTTTTAATGTGAATACTTCCAATGCTTCTGAAACTAAATTCCATGAGAAGTCGAGATTTACCTTAGTGTTTTTTCATGTCTAAGCTCTCTCATTCAGGAATCCAAGTTATAACAAATGACAGTGGCTACGATTTGCATTGTAAAAGAAAATGTTATCTTCTACTTGCTAACCAGTGAAAAGTAGAATAATATTTTTAATAGGCGGCTGCTCTCCCAATCATGTAATGTAGTAATTTAGGCCTTTTTTTTTAATCAATAGTATCAAAAATAAACGCAGTATCATCATAAATTTTAATTCAAGTTACAATTTACAATGCAAATGTAAAGATATTACGTATACATCTTTGAAATATTTTTCATATAATCTGTGGTTAACGTCATTATATATACATATGTATATACATACATATAGGTGTTTGTATCTGTGTGTGTTGGTGGCATGAGGAGACACATGCCTCACTGCACCTTTTCTTTCACCATACCCACAAGCACAGGCTAGAATAATGTTATAGTGCAACAAAAAAGATATTTAAATACATTGCCTTTTGTATATTTCAAATGGAGCTTTTAGAAATCTAGCGTTCATTTTTCAATAATTACATGACCCTAACATAAAGTTTTACACGTTTCTATTTCGCTATCTTGCCCATTTCATATTTCCATGTAGACTGGATTATCACACTGATGTCACAGAGATGTTAACAGGGTAACATTTAGTTAGTAGCCAAGATTCCGTAATGAACTGGCTGCTCTCTGCTGCTTCACCTCCCTCTAGGGTAGATGCCTTCCTGTTTTTCTCGGTAACTTCAATGGCACCCCAGTCAAGCCTGTCTTTGGTGGGCTTCTTATTTTGAATGACCGTTGGGTCTGGTTGATAAATAATGAGTAGTATTTCCACAGCATTACCCTCATTATGGATATATATTTAGTTTTGTGATCAAAATAAATTATATTAATTATTGTTGAATTTCCCTCAGTTCTCTTAATAATGTGTTGGAGGCCCAGCTTAACACTTGCCCATGTATAATTATGAAACTTATCATGTAAAAAAAATGTTTGATGTGATTTAGAACTGATCAGATGAAAAGTAAATTGAAAATCTATGATAGAAATAGTTGGATATTAAATTTTAATTATAATGGTAGTGCCTTTTTACAAATTATTTTCCCCTCTTGAGTGATATTTTTCTCTTATTTAAAAAATTAATCGAACTCCTTTATTAGATTCTTGGTCGTTTTCATGTAGAAATAATCCAATTTTTATTTAGTTGGGGATATTGGTGTGAATTTAAAAAAGTGTATTTTCCTTTTTTTAATGGCCAGCTGGTTGTTTAATGGCAGATCTCAGTAGAGCTGTAGTGAAGGGTAAAAATGTTTTCCACATGATGCAAATTGTTACATAAGATCTAAAATCTGAGTCATGAATTACCCCTCCCCTCACAGTGATTTAAAATTTCCAGCCTCTTCATATCTATATTCCCAAGAAAATATACCTGAAAGAATCCACATTGTTTAGAATTCTATAATAACTTGTCATGACATGGTAAAATAGAAGTTTAAATTTTTAATTTTCAAATCTTACGTTATCATTGTTACTAAAAAATGGGGAAAATATTTAATGAACATGAGTAATAGCTTTGAGACTGCTTTCTAGAAACATTTTAGCTTATGATTAGCTAGGATTAGGATTACAAAGAATTGTTCCTTACACCACAGTTGTTCATATTATTTTTTTCTAGAAAGTTTAGGAAACTTTACTTGGAAAATAAATTCCATGAGGTAAAATATAAATCTCCTTAAGCGAAAGACAAAAGATGTTCGGGAATGTTGCCTTCATTCATAATTAAATTAACACATTTTGGCATATTGGGTTGCCACTGGCCATGAATAACACTTTGGGTATAAGTGCTCCGAGGAGGAAACGGTCCATTTCACAATCCGTCTATTCCAGGTCCATGTTACTAGCTTTTTGCAGTTCTTAAAAACATCTTACAATAAGCTGAAATGGGAGTGCCAGTGCCAAACCATGAAAGATAACACGAGGAGAAATCTACAGCAGCAAATGAAAGTGTGTGTTTTTTCCTTTGATGAGAAACCCCCCCCAACATCCCCCTCGTCCACATGCTAGTGTCCTTGCTGCCATATGTTTTTTGCCTCCTTTCACTCACTCATGATGTAATCATGGGGCATTCGTTCATGACCTGAACCGACATGTATTCTGCATACAAAATATCCTAAAATACAGGAGTAACTCTTGGATCGGTATTTTTATTTTATTTATAGAGACTGTACAATTTTTTTTACATTACTTACATAATTCAAATCGTTCCTTCTGTTCTTCTCCACTTCTGACAAAAGCAGTACACTGGTTACAAATCACCCGAGGGAAAGAACGAGCTGCTTTGTTCCTTTAGGACTATTCACTGAGCCCTTCCAAAATAGAAGTGCTTCGGAGATCCCTTTATTTATTTATTTATTTATTTATTCCTGATGAAATTTCCATTTGACTTGAGGATATTATTGTCTCTCCAAGGTCTGCAATGATGAAGCTGTTCACCTACGTATAGAGTCCTGGGAAGCGGCAACCCACAGCTCAGGGCGTCAGGTCGTGTACTTGGCTTTGCTCACGGTAGCGGAACTGGCCGCGGCAGAGGCAGGAGCCTGATGGCCCAAGAAGAGCGGGTCCAGACAAGCTACTTTGGCCGCGAAGAAGGAGTGAATGCAGTGCAGAACAGCAAACAGGTTCGAGAACTCGAGCTCCTGCAGAGAGAAAAGACGCGGGTCAGATGGAATAAATATAAACAGTTTACTTAAAAAATTCGATAATAAACCATAAGAGTGGACAATAGACATTTTTTTTTCAAGTGCAATAAACTTAACTGTCGCCAGTTATATCTAATACATGGCAATTCTAGTGTTCAATTTTTGTTTAATATGTAACGTTAATATATATATATTGCAGCTTTACTATAAGACATGGTGATCTAAGAACTAGTATGAGCCGAAACCGGTTTGGCTCAGGGAATAGAGCATCAGCCTGCAGAATAAAGGTCCCAGGTTCGATTCCGGTCCAGGGCATATACTTTGGTTGCGGGCATGTCCCTAGTAGGGGGTGTGCAGGAGGCAGCTGATCGATGATTCTCTCTCATTGGTGTTGCTAACTCTCTATCCCTCTCTCTTCCTCTCTGTAAAAAAATCAATAAAATATATTATAAATAGAAGGAAACAAAAAAGAACTAGTATGAAGGAATATGCATACTATCCTTCACTAAAGTCATTTCAGTATTGATAAATGCTGCATAAAAGTGTATTTGGCCTGAATAAAATTTTATTCTTGATCAAATATAACTCAAAGAGAACCACAGGTGTACTTTAAAAAGTATTTTTATTGCTTTGTACATACTTCAAATGATAAATTTGGATTGGAATGACTTTAGAAAACATTTTTACTACTTTCTCAGAATAAGTTATTCATTGGCGTAGGACACTGAATAGGAATTACTGACAGAAAAGGGACACGAGTGGTCATGACATGAGGAGCCACATGGCTCTGTTTCAAAAAATAATGCATTTCATGAATTTTACATGTATGTAGTTTTAATTGTTGAACTTGGTTGTTGAAAGTCATGCACTGCTGGTGGGAATGTAGACTGGTATAACCACTGTGGAAAGCAGTCTGGCAATTCTTCAAAAAATTAAGAATAGAGCTATCATTCAACCCAGCAACTCCACTCCTGGGTATCTACCTGAAAAACTCGCAATCATTTACACACAAAGACGTGTGCACCCCTGTGTTCTCTGCAGCATTACTCACGGTAGCCACAGCGTGGGAACAACCAAAGTGCCCTGTGGTAGGAGACTGGATAAAAAAGATGTGGGACTAATACGCAATGGAATACCACTCAGCCATAAGAAAGGAGGAAAGAGCGTCATTGACAACACAATGGATGGCCCTTGAGAACATTATGCGAAGTGAAGTAAAGATAAAATGCACAATCATGTCAATATATGCATAAAAAGCATTTGACAAAATGCAACATCCATTTATGATAAAAACTCTTTACAAAGTAGGTATCAAGAGAATGCACTTCATCATAATACAGCTATTGTGTGGCGAGCCCACAGGTAACAATTACGTCTTCACTTTGGTATTTATTACTTACCTATTCTTCCACAATGGAATACTATACTTATGATGCATTCCGACCCAAACACTGTTATTGTGAATTCCATAGTAAAATAATGGAAATAACTCAAAATTTGAATATTTAAAATATATGAGTTTCTAAAAAATAAAGTAGTGAATCTTTTAGATGAGTTAAAAAACAACATAGTTAATATAGTTAAAAATACTAAACATTTGCATGAGGAAAAGCAAAAACTCATTCTTGCATGCATTTTAATACATAACATGAGCAAATATGAGTTGACATAAAATAAGATTCTTTAAAGATTTTTATTCATATTAAAAATGGAATAAATAACGATAAAAGAGAATCAGAAACTTTTAAGCATTTAAAATTATTATTTAGTGAATGAAACTACAAAATAATGATTTTTTTTTTTTTAGTTCCTATAATGTTGTTGTAGTATGATACAAATAAAGCCCCTAAGGAATTAAATAAAATATAATTGTTGAGTGTAATTTATTTTAAGTTATGCTTTTCAGTGGAAACTAGCCATTAAAATTTTTGTTTTCTTTTGGCCATTAGGTAAACAGGGAATGTATTTTGATCCTTCTAAATTTTCTCTCCTTTGCTTCTTAACAGTATTAGTGTAGTTAGAGATGTTTTATATGATGAACTTGGGCTTACCTTTGCTTCAATCTGTTTAGTATCTGGATTCTGAAACAAAAATTTGATTTTGCTCTTGCCATCATCTGAAGAGCCTTTAAGATGAGAAAACTTATACCTCCAAAGTACAGCCTACAGGGAAAAAAGAAACATGCACAAGTCACCCAGCTCTCTTACGGTTCAATTTGTATGAAATATAGTTTTACATCATTTTTTTTCAGCCCATTTGTATCTTTCTTTATATATAAAGTCAGCCTCTTGTAGACAGCATGTGATTGGATCCTGGCTGTTTTTGTTTTGCTGTTCTGCAGGGTTGAGAAAAATAGAAGTTATTGCTTAATGATTTAAAGAGTTTCCATTTGGAGTGATGGAAAGTTTTGGAAACATAGTGCAAATTAACTCATGTCACTGGATGTACAATTAATGATGGCTAAAACAGAAAATTTTATACTAAAACGTATTACAACAATTAAAAAAAAACTTGAAAATTCTGAAAGCATTGTATCTTCAGAAGCCACTCAAAATAAATATTAATTTAAAAGTTCACACTTTAAAAAGTATAAAATAAAATTATCGTAAGTCCCTACAAATGGCCTCTCTTGGCTCATGTTTCAGACTTCTCTAAAATTTATCAAACAAGCAGCATCTGGCCTCAGAGTGCCCCATACCCTTCACTCAGTGGCCCCAGGCCCAGCACTAGCTGCATCTGGACTTAGTTTGCAGTGTGGCCTCTCTGGGGCACTTCCAAGGCAGCATAAACAGCAGCCATCTACAGATTAGTTTGCAGCTCATTCTGGTTGACCTGAGGCAGGGCACAGGTGGTGACTGACCTCGCCTTGAAAAATAATAAATGTTTAATCAATAAATAGATAAGTGAATGGCACTTTATATAAATTCGTTATACCTCATTATTATATATCATATAAGTTCATTTTATATAAGTTCATTGTATCTCATTATCATAAATTCATTTTATGTAAACTCATTATGATAGCTTACCTAATAAAAGAGAAACATGCAAATTAACCATCACTCAGCTACGCCCATAGCCAATCAGAATGAGTATGCAAATTGACCCAACAAAGATGGAGGTTATTTTGCATATGCAGGCATGGAGCAGGGAAGGGGAAGGGGGGTGGTGGAGGGAGCTACTGGAGTGGTGCTGCAGCAGAAGTGAAGATTTGCTGGCTCCAGTTGGCCAGGGTGTGAAGCCAGGGGAAGGAAGGCCTGTCCTTGCATGAATATCATGCAACAGGCCTCTAGAATTATTTATAATTTTTTTATTAGTAGAGGATTGCCATTAAGTCCTTAAAATGAGTGAGAAGGAATGTATCAGTGTGTTGACTCTGATATAGAGGGAAGTGGGGTGGAGCTAAGGAATTTATATGTCCTATGGGAAGAAGAATGGCTTATGTGGAGACCAGAGCCCCAAGTCAGAGTCTGCAGCAGTGAGGCCAGTTCCTGGGAGGAGATTAGCGGTGGGGAGGGGTGAGTTTATCTTGAAGTGATCTGAGATGCGCCTGGCTCAGAAGGTGCCTCTCATCATTCAGTATACAGTCCTGCCAGAGACACAACCTTTGTGGAAAAGGCACACAGTCAGACAGCACAAAACCTTTTTAAGTATTTACAAGGATTATACTCCTCAGCTAGAAACTTCACACTCAAATTCCCCCATTCTACTGGTATAAGTCTAACATTTTACCTATAAAGATAAAAATATACTTTCCCCATTTTGATAATTGAGATGTTGCTAAAGAAAAATAATCAAAGGAATATTTTGATAAAAAATGTTTTTGAGGAGGAAAACTTCCTCAATATAAGGCCATAGCTTTAGTAAAAAAGAAAAAAAGAATATATATTCATATTCAGTTTATATAGTTCTAATGCTGTGTGCCAACCCATTTATTTCATTCCAATTTTAAACTTTTGTTTTCTATAAAGATTAAAGTACAATTTAACTTTTATTAACAAAACTGATAATCTTATATTTGACATAAGATAATTAAAATGCTGACAGGAGTTCAAAGTTATTTCAATCATTCTTTAACTAAAATGTCTGCAGAACATTTCTCAGAGCTCATTACCTTTGTCGAAGCATCAAAGCAGATAAATCCTGTGCTAAAGTCGATCGTGAGTCCCATCAGATGACTTTCTAATACACATGCATATGTCTTGCACTAGATGGAACAGAAAACACTATTACTTTTTGTGTGATGGATCCAAGATCAGTATTAATAGCTAATAGTTACCAAACACTGTGAAAGCTTCTGTAATGTGTTCTTATGTAATAGTTAATATTTTCAGCAGTAATTGTGTAAGGAAGACAGTATTATCAACATTATAATGTTAATAATAAAGAAAAGAATCCGCCCTAACCGAGTTGACTCAGTGGATAGAGCATCGCCTGTGCACCGAAGGGTCCTGGGTACGATTCCGGTCAAGAGCATGTACCTTGGTTGTGGCACATCCCCAGTGGGGGAGGAGGGAAGGGAGGGGGTGCAGGAGGCAGCTGATCAATGTTTCTCTCTCATCAATGTTTCTAACTCTCTATCCCTCTCTTTTCCTCTCTGTAAAAAAATCAATAAAATATATTTTAAAAAAAGAAAAAGAAAGAAAGAAAAGAAAGAATCCAAGTGATTTTTGACCTGCCAAGGGGTATGCAGGACCAAGTTTCCAATCTTTTTTAAAGGATTGTTTTTATCATGTACCACACAGACTCTTTTTACTATATTTGCAATAAAACTGGAACAAACATTTTTAGATGTAGGCAAGATTAAGTTGTCATATCCTCCAGCTAACTACCCCTGCATTTTCATTGAGCCAAAAGTGGATTATTAAAGACTAAGGTGTTAAATTCTTGGTATATTTATTTTATAGAAGTTATTTAAAGAGAATTTTCAGGCACACAAACACAGATTCTGTAACCAAGACAGAAACAACAGTGAAAAAATATATTGGCCTAAAACAGTCTCTTTCTGCTCATCCATGTGACGCAAACTATTTCCCAAAGATATTTACCACTCGCCTATTATTTGTATAAACAGATTGATTCTTCAGAAATCAACATTATAAACTGATGAACCAAAAGATAGATATAGAGACAGTAAAGCAACAAGCAGATTGTCAAATTACAGCGGGGAGGGGAGGAGGATCTGGGGGAGATAATAGATCAACCGAAGGACTTGTATACATGCATATAAGTACAACCAATGGACATAAAACTATGGGGAGGCAGGGGATATGGGGGAGGGAGGGAGGGGGGCAAAAAAATCATTAAAATATGTAAAAAAAATAAATTAATTAATTAAAAAAAAATTAAAAATAATTAAAAAAAAGAAATCAACATTTGGTGACTTTTCAATATATTAATATAAAAAAAAATTTGGAAAGATTAATGAAATTGAGATACTGAAATACAAGAATAACATATATGAAATAAAAACTTTAGGTTATATGCAACAGGATACATTTTTATGTCTATAGTCCAGTTTTATTTGCATTCAGTTGCAAACTTTAGTGGGAATTAAAATTAAAAAATACTTGCAATTAAACAAGATGAAAGAAAAGGAAGGAGAGAAATCTGTCTTAAGCCTTACATTATATCGGGTTTTGTAATACTGTGTATAAAAGTCCATTAAATTAATCACATCTCACTATAATAATAAATGCATTTGCCTTCACCAAAAAGTTATATTCTATATTCCTATATTTAAGTCTAATTTACATAGGAAAGTTGTAACTTATGCCAAGTTATTCATTTGGCATTAATTTTTGGTGGATTAGAAAACAAACTTAAGTTCATTTTGGGTGTGATTTAATTGGTTTACCACTTGAACATAGTCCTTGCTCTGATCCATCCACTACTACTTTGTTAATACTACTAGGAACATTAAGTAAAGTTCAAGGCCATTTGTTTCCTTTAATTTAGACATAATTGTTTGGTACTTTCCAGTACTATCATTTAAAAAGAATATGTGAGGACGAAACATTAAATATTATGGAACATTTACTTCTTTAAGCTCAGAATTACTAATTAAATTACATTGTCTCAATAATTATTATGTAGAAATGACATGATATAAATAGATGTAATACAAATTGAGAAATATGAAATTTAATTCTATACAGTTAAATTGTTAAGACAACATTTCTCAGTTATTTAAATGCTTTTAAATATAGGCGAATCCACAAAGCTATTAGAGAATGTCAACTGATAAATGAAACAAGTGAAATAGGAGTCTCTTCTTGTCCTCTTCCCTGAATTGTCATCCTGGTGCAACTTGATGTCCTAACGATAGGATTGTAGTCAGGAAAAAAAAATTAATAGATGTTACAAATCTGTTTAACATATTGAAAAAAATATGCATCTAAGTCTCTTATTGTAGACAAGCATTCCAGAATTATTCACAGCTATATTATCTTCATCAGGAATCTGTTTCCAAAGTAACTATTTACTTTCGTGTTTATTCATGTCCAGGTTCTGAATGGGACAACTGCACGGTAACTACTCCATTTTGCCATACATCTCCGGTGGCTGTGAGAGGCAGGCCCAATATTTCATAGCCTGTTCCACCTCACGGTTCTATAAATTGGAGAGGCTGAAGGTTCTTGGAAGTTTGATCTAGATATAACGTCATGCTTAAGAAATAACATTTATTAATAGGCATCTGTTGAATACTTGTGATGTACAACATGCATTGTACATCATTGTACATGTTGGTAGATGGATAGACTATTCCAAGCAAACTATAACTCAGTGTGAGCAATGTCAAGCACACTTCACTCCGCGATGAGACGGTGAGCAGAGCTCAGGAAATAATATTGGTGACAAAATCAAGTCATATTGAACAGCACTCTTGTACAAGGAGTAGTGGTAGTCAGGGGGCAGGGTAGACTGGAAGTCAGCAGAATTTTCACAGATGAGATGACCTATGAGGAAAGTTTCAAAGACTGGATAGAAAGGAAGCGAAGGCTTTCTAGCAAGAAAAAGCATTGTGAGTGAATGAAGCCATTTGGCTGAAAATGAGGTGGTCATGATTGCAGAACAGAAAACAGTCTTGTGAAGTATAATTAAAATCAGAGCGTGTTCATTTTAGATTTAAAGTGGAACGGATTCTAATTAAAATGTCCAATGTATTTTTGATGAGTGATAGGAAATAGCCTCGAGAGATCCAATTGTAGAGAAATTAAAAATGTGTTTTCAGAGCTGCGCTACTATTCGTTCAATCACAATGGCTGATTATCGAACGTATTTGAGAAGGAGGTCAAGATTCCCAAAATGGTGCTGTTGTGCTCATTTGAATTTCTATGAGAACTCGAAGCTGGTGGGCATGCGTCTCCGTGTCCCAGATCCTAACATTCTGCAGACTCTCACCTGGATCCGTTCCACTTCCAGAAACGTGGCTGTTTGGAAGGCTCGCTCCCACTGGGCAAGGTCACAGTCTGACTCCACGGAGAAGTAGAGGTCCTCCCCGGCCTCGGACTGCACAGTGAAACAGTGCTTCCGCTGGTCCAGGAGGTCACTGTCCTGATGGAAACCTGGAGTTACCCGGGCTGGCAAACATCAATTCAGATTGCTAACATGCTCGTACCTTCCTTCGGTGTCTACGAATGCGCGTTTGGAGATGGCAGTCAGAAAGATTATGCTCTACCATATCACTAAGCCTTCATGAAACATGACCACTGCTCAGAAGGAGACTGAACTTGGGGTGATGAGCATACAAAGACTTACACAGATGATGGATTATCCTATTGCACACTTGGAAGCCCCTGGCTTGCTCCTCCTACACCCTCCCAATCCTATCTTAGCTCTGGAGCTAGAAAGCCAAACGCTTCATCCCTCATGCTTGCAATCCTTCCATGGCTCTCCTCTGTTCCTTCTTATGTTATTTTATCTGCTCTCCACCGCACAGACACCACCACCAACCTCATGCCAAAGTGGATATGCAGAGATGGGCAACAGACATGTGAAAAATGCTCAGCGGTGCCTGTCAGCAGAGAGATGCAAATAAAAACTACAATGCGCTATCCCCTCACAGCTGCCAGAAAGGCTCCCATTAAATCCACGAACAAGTGCTGGCGGGGATGTGGGGAAAAGAGAACCCAGCACTCTGCTGGTGGGAATGCAGACTGCTGTAGCCACCATGGGGAACGGCATGGAGTGTCCTCAAAAAATGAAAAGCGGAACAACCTCTTGGCCCAGCAATCCAACTTCTGGGAATATGTTCTAAGAACCCCAAAATGCCATTCAGAAAGAATATACGCACCCCTATGTTCATAGCAGAGTTATTTACAATAGCTAAGATCTGGAAACGGCCCAAGTGCCCATCGGTAGATGAGTGGGTAAAACATCTGTGGTACATTTACACCATGGAATATTACACAGCTATAAAAAAGGACGGTATTTTCTGCTTTGTAATGACGTAGATGGACCTGTTGAATATTGTGCTGAGTGAAATAAGCCAGTCAGAGAAAAACAAGTATTACATGGCCTCACTTACATGTGGAATCTAATGATCATAATAAACTGATGAAAAAAGCAGGTCCAGAGACTTGGTTACATGGAACAGATTGACATATCTCAGGGTGGGAGGAGATGGGAAGGGATTAATTAAATAACTTATATACATATATGTATAGCCAATGGTCACAGGCATTAGTCTGGTGAAGGCCTAGACTGGGGCAAAGGCTGAGAGGAAGAGGATAAACGGAGTGGGGGAGTGGAGAGATTGGGGGACATCTGTAATACTATCAACAATAACCGCCCCCCCCCCCAAAAAAAAAGAAGAGAGAAAGCAATCTTATTAGTCATTTTGGTAATTATTTTTATTAAGGGAAATTGAGTACGATCTCTCTTTTTCTTCAGATACCAGTACATCTTTTAGAAGTTTCCAGAACTTTTTTCTCATTAACAATAAATTCAAGCATATCAGAGTTGTTCTACCATTAATCCCACAATAAAACTAAAACCATGCACAGTGATGATCAAACAATGACCTATATTTTTATTTAGCTTTTGTGCTATTGTAAATGTCAGCTTTCATTTGGAATTATTCAGTAGGGGGAAATATTATGAATGCTTTTGAGGTAATCATGTTTCTTTGTCTCTGCTTTCCGACACTTTTGATACATTTCATTGTGTTGTAAATGTTCCAGCATTTTCTAATCTACTGTGTCTTTAACTGGAAGAGAAATAATTGACATGAAGCACAGGGAACTCAGTTCTCCTTGATTACACAAACAAGGTCAACCTTAACAAGCCTACTTGTTAAGTAGAAATTGAAGATAGAAACTAAAGATAGTCTATTATTTAGCTTTTATATAAGTATTCCCATTTCCTTTATTAAAAATGGCTGCAGAAACCCTTTGAAATTATGAAGAATTATGGATGATTTGCTATCACAGCAAATTTATGTATAGTACAGAAATTTAAATAAAAAGTAATTGTATGTTGTTTTGCATACTCAGAGAGATAACCCAACCCTGATAATTAAAAAACACCCCCCACACAAATTAGCTTGCTTTGCACATGCCTTTATATTTTCTACATTTTTCTAAAACAAATATATCCAAATGTTTCTCTCATATTTTACTCAGCCAAAAACGATGGTAGTAACAGATGTTTAAGTTCAGGCTATTTCCAATTGCACTTTCTCCTTCTTCCTCAATGGATTTCTGCCAAGCTCCTCCTTGTTTTTCAGAAACGGAAAAACCTGCTTAACAATTATTTAAGCCAATTTGAGGGTGCCCACACACCTCTCTGCATTCTATTGTATACACAGTGTTAACCGCTGATAGCTCAATTTTTAAAATAAACTGTGTTTCAATAAACATCACCTTTATTATTATTCAAAGTCGTATGGACACATTTTTGGACACCCTACCTATAATTTATCTGCCTGTGTCTTCTATTTTCTGTTATAATCATGCATCATTGCTTTTCAGACTCTACTTATTAGCTAAACCACTGTCTGCTGAGGGAAAATTAACATTTTTACTACCTATTGATCATACCTTGAGAATCTTGCACATGATCTCATAAACGGAAAATGTTTTCTCTGCGCGGGTCCAATCCCACGTGGTCACCTTTAAAAGATGAGAAAGTAATGTGCCGTTTGTCTTAGAAAGACAGCTCCTATTCCCTCGTCAAGTTATTTACATAGTATGGGGCTTAGAGGAACCTGTCACAGGGGTCAGCAAACCGTGGCTCGCGAGCCACATGCGCCTCTTTGGCCCCTTGAGTGTGGCTCTTCCACAAAATACCACGGCCCGGGCGAGTCTATTTTGAAGACGTGGCATTAGAACAAGTTGAAGTTTAAAAAATGTGGCTCTCCAAAGAGATTTCAATCGTTGTGCTGTGGATGTTTGGCTCTGTGGACTCATGAGTTTGCCGACCACTGGCTAGAGAGTCTCTCGGTTGTAACTCTTATAGGTGTTCATGTAGAATGCTGTGGTTCCCTCTCTTCTCAGCCTTATTACTATTTGTTTTCCTCTTTCAGCAAACATCTCATGTTACATGCAACAATCTCAACATGCCCAGTATCTTTCCATATTTTAAATATGTGTATTCTTTACAGATCAATAATAAGTATTTACCTTTCACACCCCTTTTTTTTTTTTAAGTTTACCACTGATTACCTACAAAGAGGAATACCAGATAGCAACATGGATTTGAATTTTCAAAGGAAGACATAATTTATATTAGTCGTCATTCCAAGCTGTGAACACCTTAGAAAATTATGAATGTACAAACACGATGGTGAAATTGTTTCACTTACTGAAATGTAAACCATACACCTATATTTCCAATCACAGGAAATCATTCAGAGTAGTAATATAGTAAAGGATATACACATGAATGGCTTTTCTCTCTGCCTCCCTGGTATTATAACTTCATATACACAGAGACATTCAAAATAACAGCAAGTCAGACTTGATATTCCAAGGCCCTCTCCATTATTAGACCTGTAAGTGGTCTGATATTTGATATTTATATCTAATAAATATTTATTGAAAATGATAATTATAGAAGGTATCTGTTTCAAAAGCAAGATATTAGGTGCAAGAGATACTCATACATATTTAATAAAAAGCCCGATGACTAGCATAGAGGATATCAAAAATACTGTTGATTTGATGTAGACAGACTTGTGCCCCATAAACATATCTTGCCTATCATAAGTGCCTAAATAGAAAAGACTTCTAGATTTCTCAAGGGTTATAAAGTAATGTTTAATGACAGAATGCATATAATTAGCAAGACATACCGTATTTTCCGGCGTATAAGACGACCCCCTAATTTTACAGTTAAAACATAGGTTTAGGCCTATATTCGCTGTATAAGACTACCCCCCACTTCCGAGGCAACACCAGTTCTTTTTTTAATAGATTGGCCAGAGTCAGAGAGGCGGTCTATTAAAAAAAGAACTGGTGTTGCCTCGGAAGTGGAGGGTAGTCTTATACAGCGAATATAGGCCTAAACCTATGTTTTAACTGTAAAATTAGGGGGTCGTCTTATACGCCGGAAAATACGGTACTCAAAAACATTTGGACGGTGTTCTATTTTTGTTCTATAGGTGATTTTCAAAAAATATTGGCCACTTGCTATTTTTAGTGTTAAATCGATATCGCTCTGCTGTGATCGCATAGGACAATAAGTATCAGACAAAAACACTTACTGGAGGTGACAGGAACTTGTAAAGACACGAGCCCCTCAAGGCTAGAAATATTGGCGAGTACACCGAATCCTGAAGGGGGTCCTGCTCCCGGGCCTCACACCAACCCATGTAGACTATCTGGAAGGAAAGGGAACGTAATTACTTTTTTTTAAAGCTCAGATTAGAGGCATTCTGTGCATTTTTATACCTTAATGCTCTAATGAAAGTATCAAGTTAACGGATGCAAAAGTACACAAACCAGATTTGCCTTCAATAAGACTATGCAAACCACTAACAAAGATTTGCAAGTGTTTATTTGTTTACATAATCCACTTTCTACCAGTCACACTATGAGAATATTTGTTTGTAATAGAATTCATTGACTTACACCATCTGTTTACCGGTTAGTTACATCTTGCTATCTGGGAAAGTGATCCCAGGATAAAACAATCAGGTGGTAAGGAGGTAAACCAAAGAGAGACACCCGATGTTATCACCGCTCCTGTGGTGGGCCGCATCTCCCTTGCGATTTTCTTGCTTTAGTCACTGGTCTAAGATGACTAAAGGCTGTTTAAGCATTATTCATATGTCAAATGGCACTGGCAACCACTATTGCTTCTAGCTCTTAAATTTAAGTGGATCAATTTCCAAAAAAAAATTAAATGGTTGCTTCTCTTTTCGTCATTTCATTGAGGTGAAGGTGACGCATGTACATAAGCATTTATTAAATAAATATTTTACATTCTTGAAAACATATTCAGAGGCCATTTTACTTACCTCTGACCACACCCTACATGATAGAGGTACCTGGGAGAATATATTTTCTACATCAGGTAACTTACTTTGGTTTTAGTGTTGGCAGAATGCTCTTTCCTACTTCAAGACTTTCTTTTTCTTTTCTTTTTTTTAATACTCTTTTAAAAATATGATGCTATTTGATTAAGTATCTACCTGGCCATATAAGCAATTAGAAAATAACCAATTACTATAGCTGGTTGTTCTAATATTATTACTAACCAGTGAAGATCAAGATCAATTCATAAAGCAATAAATGTTTTATCACTATGTTGTATACCTGAAACTAAAATAATATTGAGTATATTAACTGTAATTGAAAAATAACTTGTAAAAAATAAATTTAAAGAGTAAAAGAGCAATAAAGTTTACTAGCTGGAAATACCATAAAAGAAGAAAGAAAATGATTAGATTAACTAGAGGAGGCTAGTATAACTTGTCAGACTACTTGAGATAAAAATAAAAGGAGATAATTATTTTTCACTTCCAGTTGTTTTATATTATGTCATCAGACAACACTTACTGAAGTCACGCCAGAAAACAAAACAAAAAATGTTATTTTTCAAATGTGCTTCAATCACTAGATATTTTAGAACATATTAAATAAAGTATTACCAGGGGGGTGAAATTCATAGCAATATGGTGGTTGATAAAAGTGAATCCAAATGTGAATCAGCTTTTGCCAGAGGGGGACTTTCTAACACAGAAGTGGCCATAAAAGATTGAGATGCTTTTTTCAGCCTTGGTTTTGGGGCATAAGGCAAAGTCCTGGGCCGTCCACAGGGGGTGAGCCTTAGGAACATACTCTGGTTTTCAAGTCACAGGTACCTGCTTCCTAACTGCAGTGTTGAGGCAAATGCTACTTAGCTCTTACGGAACAAGAGCTCACATCCAGATGATTCAGAAAACATCCACCTTGAAATGATTCATGATGGTTTATTTTCCTTTTCATTGAATTATTGGGGTGGCACTCAAACAAAATTATACAGTGTTCAGGCATACAACACATCACCTGTACACTGTATTGTGTGGAAGGGAGAGGGAGAGAGAGAGAGAGAAAGATCAAAGATGAAAGAGAATCATTGATTGGCTGTCTTCTGCAAGTGCCCCATGGGAGATTGAGCTTGCAATCTGGGCATGTGCCCTTGACCAGTTTCAAACTTGGGACCCTTCAGTCCACAGGCCTATGCTCTATCCACTGAGCCAAATCAGGTAGGGCTAAATTGTACTTCTGATTTTATTTTGCCTAAAATAAAAGTAAGTTCTCTCTGGGGCAAGATAGCATCATTCCCATCCTCAAGTTATGCCTGTGACTCTTATGTACAATGTCTAGTATATAACCATTATTTAGAAGCCATATAAGGGGACAAAATAAATACAATTCAGAAAACCAAGGAATAAAACAGACAAAGGGAGAGGAAACACACACATAAGAGATACAGATTTTGGAGGTATCAAACCCAAACATTGAAACTACTACTTAACTAAATATATTTTCAAAATTTAGATGACTAGTCCATACATTATAGCAGATAACTGGAAATTCTGAAATAATAAAACATATACATAGAAATGAAAATGCCATGCAATGTAAGGATTTTTCAGAAGTTTATATACAGCTGAAAAGAGGAGCATGGAATTAAGTGAATTTAACAGTCACTGTATACAAAATCAGCATAAAAATCAACTGCAGTTCCATACTAAAAAGACCATTTTTCTACCTCTTGATATGTGTGCACACACACACTTATGGGCAGGCATGTGTTTGTATACACAGATAATTAGTAGAATTTAAAATGTTACAACTAAAAGCATCTTGGAATAACAGCTGTTTCTCAAGGCCACAGAAATCTGAAATGCCTACAAGAGGCAAAAGACTAAAATTATATATATATATATATATATATATATATATATATATATATATATATATATATATATATATTTACCAAGGAGTTCTGGCTTAGTGGGTCTCTCATCTCACAGCAAGGTCAGGGGTGCTGTGAGATGAGAAAATTTCTTAATTAATCTCAAGTCCCTAAACCAAGGGAGAGGAGACGCGATATCACCCAAATTACCATGATCTCCATGTTCCTCCCAAATTACCATCATCTCCATGTTCCACCCAAATTACCATCATCTCCATGTTCCACCTGGCCTCTTATTCTTTCACACAGCGACCTCCACGACATCTAATAAATCCTCCTGTCTGCTTTTGATCGAGTTCCCAGGAGGATTCTGACAAAACCATGCCTCTACACATCTGTGGGTGACACGAGGTGGTCCCTGGCTGGCCCCACAGTGCGCCCGGAGGGCGTTTTCCCACAGTATCCACTCCTTCACCCCTGGGAGTCTGAGCAGCCTTCCTGTGGACCGGCTCACCCACTTCCTATGGGAATGCATTCTTTTTTCTCCTTCCATTGTTCTTGGCATTCAGTGGACACCACTCCCACAAGGTGGGCCATTCAGCCTAAGGAGCAGGCCAGACTATATCTCCTGACAGCCTTCTTCGACATTATTTGGCATCAAGTTCACCCTCCCCCTCAAACCAGGAGGCCAGCCTGCTTCCTGGGTAAAGCAAACAAAACCGCCCCTCCAGTCCTTTCGGGGGGAAATTTCTTCTCTGTTCAAACCCATGGCATTGCAATGTCAGTCACCCACTATTTAGTCAAACTTTTCATCAGGTGATTTTTTGGGGGGGCGGGGAGGAAGGTGGGCGGTTTACAAGACTTTTGCTTTATTAATATTTCTCTAAGAGAAACTGCAAGAGAGTGAATTTAAAGGAAAGCTAACTATGGAAGAGAAGTGACAGTGTGAGCTGAATGTTCCCGAGGGCTCTGAGACAAGCAGGAGGTCCTCCTCATTGCGGGTGGAGGGCATAGGTGGCGAGGCGTGGACAGCTGAGCCTATTGTCCTGTGTGTATCAGCTGCAGAAAACCCTCTCCGTTCATTCCTCCTGCCAGCTGCTGCCCTGCAAACCACTGCTGAGCCGGCCACTGCCACAGCACAAAGCCCTCCACGGGGGACCACGGCAATCCATCACTCTGATTGGCCACCACTGAGGCCTGGCTCCAAAGGCTTTTTCTCAAGACGCTGCAATGAAGCAGGCTGGGCCTGTGCCAGGGCCTTCAGCAGAGCAGCAATCAGGAGAGAAAGAAGAGGCACCGCAGGCAGCGCCTGAAAGCAGGCAGACTGGGCAGCAGGGGCCCAGTGTGTTAACAGGAAGTGGGATGGCGACTGTCCAGCAACCTGGGTCGGTGCGATCTGAAAAGCACTGTTCCTCTTGGATGGATTACTCTGACAAATGAAATGACCCCAGCCCAGTGGTCAGCAAACTCATGAGTCCACAAATCCAAATACCAACAGTACAAGGACTGAAATTTCTTTCCGCTTTGGAGAGTCACATTTTTTTAAACTTAAACTTCTCCTAACGCCACTTCTTCAAAATAGACTCGCCCAGGCCGTGGTATTTTGTGGAAGAGCCACACTCAAGGGGCCAAAGAGCCACATGTGGCTCGAGAGCCACAGTTTGCCGACCACGGCCCTCAGGCATCCTGACTCATACTTAAAGAGTCACACTAAAGATGTTGGTTGTTTGGCAAAGAGCTATCTCAGAGATAATGGCCTCCCAGCTCTCTGACTATAAAGGCAACATTTTCAGGTGACTGATCACCTGGACATTTTTCCTTCTCACGTGGACAAGATGACATTGGGACTGCTATCTCCCTAATGTTCTACTCATTGGCGATACAGCAGTGAATTCAATGCAATGCAATAATGTAATTTAGATTCCACTCTGAGTGACTGCATTTCAAAAGAAAAAACTAGAATATAGGCTAAAAGAACGAATAAGCAGTCCCAAGAAAACAGGTGTGTGTGTGTGTGTGTGTGTGTGTGTGTGTGTGTGTGTGTGTTTAAGAGCACAGGGAAGGGGAGATACAGAGTATTGCAAAGGGTCTGATATTCTAGATGAGATTGTGCAAGGTCTCACAGAGGGAACATTTGGGAACAGGCTTAACAGAACTGAAAGTTCCCCCTATCTCTGTCTGGAGAAAGAGAATTAGGCAGAGGTGAGGAGACAGAAGGAAGCTAGGTAGTCAGGAATTGGGGCCATGGGTGAGAGGGGGAAGGAAGTAGAACTGGAACCAGTTACTAAGATAACACAACTGGGCGAGGAAGGAAGAGGGCACGCTGAAGACATGAGCTCAAAGATGATACACCCATGACATGAGTCAAAACACTGAGCTTTCACTTACTTTTCTTACTTGAGTTAATGTTTTTAGTATGTTTATGAAAGTAATACAAAACTTAGTTCTAGCATACTAAAATGGGAAGGGGAATCCATTATTATTTTCTATAATCAACTTATTTTATTTTATAATCAATTATTAGTCTTGTAAGTCAACTAAATTATTTGCTTGATTAATCAGACATTATCTTTATTCTATTTATGCATTAATTTAGACTCATTTGAAATACAGTCAGCAAATTGTGAAAATCCTCTTTAACTTTTAAATTATTTATGTAAAGTACTCCTAACTGTGGATAAAGTAAAACTATTTCATGTAAATTGCTCTCCGTGCTCTTTGACATTGTATTTAAATAAATATAATTTGTGTAAAAAATAGTGTTCACTTAGTTTACTTAGATAAAATTTTTTTAATATACTTTTGATTGTTGTTGGTATTACAGACTGCTTTTAATGTGATTAGATAAATAGACATATCACATAATATGAAATAAATCTAATAAGCTATGCGTTTTCCCGAAGATAGATAATAATAGTACACATTATTTCCACATTAAATTAAATTTAATCAATATGATCTTCTATAATAGAAACAATGAAAGAAATATATAATTTGACTTTTCAAGTATTTCTCCATCTTACCTGCTGGTTTACAGGGAAGTTCCTGTTGATTTTTTTAATCTGCAATGATAAATAAATAGTAAAAGTAAGAACTAAAAGGTGACACAAGATTGCCTAAATCTTCTGAGAGTTGGTGAGTAAGTATACATTGACACAAGTCATTGCATCAAAAACAGCAATTATGAAAGGAAAAGCATTTTTTCCTATCAACATTTTTTCAAATTTCATATGAAGAATCTTAATGAATATTAGGATACCACTTCAAGAGGACCAAACAGACCATCTGTGCAGTAAGTCATACAAAAAAGAAAAGGGGGGCTTTTGTTGGTTTTGAAAAAGCTTCCCATCTAATTTTTTTTTGTTGAGTATGAAAAACCAAATGCCTACGTTTCCACACACTGGTAAATAATTACCTCCCGAGAACAAAAGAGTAATATTCTTGTTTGTATTTTCTCTTTGAAATCATATTATTTCCAATTTGCTTTGACACTCGAGAACAGAGAAAACAGAGTACTTAAGCACTAAAGGATAAGAAAATGTGTCAAAATATTTTTAGTCAGAATCCCATAAAAAGCATAACATTGACTTTCAGACAATGTAGTAAGTGACATTTTATTAGAATTTAAAATAAATCCTCAAAACAAGAATTCCTTCTGTTCTAGGTGATGTAAAATACTCTAAGAAGGGAATGAACATGAAGAGGAGACTGAGAAAAATGAGCTTAGGCTACTCAGAGTCACTGTTCAGAATTTGTGTTAGTTAAAGCTAATTGTAATTTCTCATTGCTTTTCTAAGAGAAACACAAAGTGTTAATTCTGTGTGGTATAATCGTACATCAGATTAATGAAGACTATTTTTGTTTATACATTGTTTTATTGAATTATTTTATTTTTTCCTTTTAAAGTTGTAGATCATGAGAAATTAATGAATACTGTGGACAAAGTTGGAGAATCATCAAATGGCCCATCATAAGACCAGACTTATTGGCAAGATATTTCTCTTCTAAAATATAAAAGAAAAAAAATGACAAGATTTATGTGTGATTTCAGCAAGGGAAAAAACATGTCTCTCTCACGTGGCAAGAATCACTTCAAAACTATTTGGTGAGGAATCAGCTAAGGAAATATCTAAAACTACATGTGTCACCAGCTAAAATGAGGACAGTGTAGAGAAGGAGACAGAAAGAGCAGACCCCTAAACATCTGTTACCCAATCAAACAAAAAGTCCATATTGAATACTTGGTGGAACTATGCTTTTTTGCGCAGTTTCTGTAGCACTGAGACTGTGGAACATGAAGAACTGGCCAGAAAGAAAGAATGAGGTCTAATGGGAAGAGAAGGCTGCTATGAGGCAAGCAAAACCCTATTGGATCAAAGGTGGCATGTGAATTGTGTCCCGTAAAGCTGCTTCATGTAGCCTTAGCCAGGTTGGCTCAGTGGATAGAGTGTCGGCCTGCAGACCAAAGTGTCCCAGGTTTGGTTCCAATCAAAGGACACATACTGTATTTTTCGGACCATAAGACGCTCCGGACCATAAGACGCACCAGTTTTTAGAGAAGGGAAATGAAGAAAAAAAGTTTCTGAAACAAATAGTGTCCTAAAATATTTTATGTGCATTAAAACCCAACATCACAGTCATAAACACATGTAATCAACTCTGTAAAGTAAACAGCAGCATTTAGAACCATTTTAGAGCCGGGCAAGCACACAGAGACCACACAGAGCCAGGCAAGTAAAAAAACTTTTTTTTAAAAAGTATATGTGTAGGCTATATTTGGACCATAAGACGCAGGGACTTTCCCCCCCCACTTTTGGGGGGAAAAAAGTGCGTCTTATGGTCCGAAAAATACGGTACTTTGGTTGCAGGCTCTTTGCCTGGGCCCTGGTCAGGGCGTGTGCAGGAGGCAACCAACGGATGTGTCTCTCGCATCAATGTTTCTTGCTGTCTTTCCCGCTCTTCCACTCTCTATAAAATCAATGGAAAAATATCCTTGGGTGAGAATTAAAAACAAATAAACAAATAAAAGATTAAAAGCTTACTACAGTTAAAAAACTGCCTCATGTTATTATGATTGCATTATCCAGTTAATATCAAAGCAGATGTTTTAGGTTGTGCAAGTGCAAACCAGCTAATATTTGCCAATATCAAGAAAATGTTCAAACATAATTTAACTTTCAGGGAGTAGTTTTCCAAGAGACAGGGTAGGGTAGCTATTTTACTGAAATGCTTCCTGACGTACACTGCCAGTAATAAACTCCAATATGCAAATCACAAACTATGGTTGTCCAAATATGCATCTAATTCCCAAACTTTCCCTTCCTTTTATCCCGACGTAAGTAACGGACTGCAACTGTCTGATTTCACCCCGTTACCCATTTTTGGTTGACAACGGCATGGCTCACATTCACATTTGTGTGTCTGAGGAAAAACAGCGCAGAAATGAACAACATGCTAGCCTTGAAAAGCAGATATAAGGATTCAGAAATGTCAGTAGCAATCAAAGAAAAAACCTACTGGAATGACACGAATGCCTGTGAGAAACACATTCTGCAACCTCTAACCACAGGCCTTCATTTATTTTCCATAAATCTCCTTTCTGCGAGGTATTATTTTTTCATGACTTTCAATTCGACTGCAAGATGTATCAAGTCTTTTCAATGTGGCAGATCTAACAGAAATTTATTTTCTTTAGTTTTCACAACCAGCACGTCCTGGAAAAAATAATCCATTTGTTCCACTTGCAAGTCTTTGCCATCTATTGTTTCAGATGTCCATGGATTAAATGTTTTTCACTTCTGTAGATGAGTAAGATATAGGAAGATAGATGAAATATTTGCTGACTGATTAAATGTGTGTTGTGTGTGAGTGTGTGTGCAAATCCTGAGGGACTCTGATGATCCCATAAAGATCACAGAGGGTATTGAGTATCTATGCATTTTCTTTAGGATTAATACGTCTTTAGTATCAGGCCCTGTGGTAGATATTGTTGGTTATCTGAATCAAAGGTTATTCACCATCTTCTTTTCTTGATTATATTCTGCTATAAAAGCTAAAGAAGGTGAAGACCAGCCACCTTCACTGCCCTGAGTTCCCTCCTGCTGGGATTTTCACAGGACTGCATTCAGAAGAATGAGAGACTTCTCATAATGTGGCCATGAAAGGATTTTTATCTTAGCTTGATAAAAAGGAAGAGATGTAGGTGATGCTACTTATTCTTACTCACTTTCTTTCTTGCTCTTAACACTGACGTGATGTTCAAAGTGTTGTGGCCGCTGGGTCGCCATGAGGTGCGAACATAAGACGAAAGCCAACATTCTAAGGGTAGTGGCGGGCAATGACGTGGACAGATAAAAGATGGGTGCTTGGTGGCTTCACAGAACCACTGAAGGAAAGCCAGCAGATGCCACCATGCAGAATTCTTGTCGGTTGAGGACAAAACCCAATTATTAACTCCAGTAGTCCTTAGGATTTCTCTTTTTTGTCATTGAAAACATTCTTAATTGATACACACATATGGGAAAGAGACTCTATTCTCTTTCACATAATAAAATATGAATTATATATTTGGGGACATATGCAAATTATACATTCTCATTTCAGATAACACCAATTTTCAACAAACCTTTAAGGATAGAAGCACTAAATATCTATCTATCTATCTATCATCTATCTATCACCTATCTATCTACTCTCTCATGTGCACACACACACACACACACACACACACACACACATTACATTTCAAATAACACATTTCATTCTAATAAAGAAAATGAATGCATAGGATATATATGGAAGAATTTAGACTATCAGAGGAGATTATGCTAGTGTTGTCACAGTAAATAATGGTTGGAAAAGTGGGATTCATGAAACACTAGCTGAAATATAGCTTTGCATTTTATCTGCTTCCTCTGTCTCTTAGAGATGATGGAACTGAGACCCACTTCTCTGGCTTATCAAAAATTATATCTACTGAATGGTCTAGACACCATCAGACATTCTGTCCAGTTTCACCAACACCCTGCTATCCAAACAACTCTTTCAAAATCTCAAGTGACAATTTGACAAAACAAAGATGTGCAACCTCATAATAAATAAATTGATCCTGCCATGAACTGATGGTTCATGGATTAAATCCTTTCATTTAGAATGAAACTGGAGAGACGTTAAGAGCAAATTTTTCAGCATCATTGAAAGACCAAAATATTTAAAGTACTCTCTTCATTCAACTCTCACTGTGCCTGAGGTTAATTCAGTGTCTGTTTATGAAAAGCTGAAGTCACATAAATAGTAAATATGTGCTAACTCTGTTACCACTTTTTAACACTGCAAGGCACCTCTGCAAAAGCATCACCTCAGTTGCCTATGGCTCATCAGATGAGAGAGTGTTTGAAATTATACTTTGGTCTAGTTTCAGATCTGGTACATTGGCAAATACCTTTTTACTAATTTTTATATTTTATATTCCCAACTCAGCCATACAGATCTTAGTTTTTTTCTATTACCCAAATCTTCAATAAATATTTATTTTTTCTACCATATCTTGTGTGTGTGAATAGTTTTCTAATTTATTCCATTAATATCGCATACGTTTTGGAGTTAGATATTTTGTTGTTAATTCTCACCCAAACATATTTTTTCCATTGATTTTTAAATTATTTTTTACAGTCAGGACCAGTTTGGCTCAATGGATAGAGCGTCGGCTTGGGGACTGAAGGGTCCTGGGTTCGATTCCGGTCAAGGGCATGTACCTTGGTTGTGGGCACATCCCTAGTAGGGGTGTGCAAGAGGCAGCTGATCGATGACTCTCTCTCATCGATGTTTCTAACTCTCTCTCTCTCTCTCCCTTCCTCTCTGTACAAAATCAATAAAAGATATATTTTAAAAAAATAAATAAAAAAATAATTTTTTACAGAGTGGAAGGAAGGGAAAAGAGCAGGAGAAGAAGGGAAGAAAGAGAGAAACATTGATGTTAGAGAGATACATCTATTGGTTGCCTGCAACCTAGGTATGTGCCCTAGACCAATATTCAAACTCACAACTATTCAATCCACAGGTCCACTGAGCAATACCAGCCAAAGCTCAACCTGTTCTTAATAACTTTTATTCATCTAACTAGAGGCCCGATGCATGAAATTCCTGCATGAGTAGGCCTTCCTTCCCCTGGCTGCGGGTACCAGCTTCCCTCTGGCACCCGGGATCCGGGTTTCCCTTGCAGCCCTGGCTTTCTCAGGAAGGGACATCCCAGTCTAAACTCTGACCTCTTGGTTCATAGGCTGACGCTCAACTGAGCCACGCTGGCCAGGCAACTACTATTATGTCATTAAAAAAAAAAAAAATCCTACAAAGCTATTATTTTAATATTCGATTTTCTATTCTAATCATCACTTATTTATATGTAAGTACATTTCAAGTACATCATTTCAAACTCACGATTTTATTTTTAACTTATTTTATAATTATTTTGAATGAGAACTGATTACAAGATCAAAAGGACATGCAATTAGAGTATAATCACAGGGAGGTTAAAGAACAAGTAAGGGACTTAAAAAAGATCAACATTATCATCGTAGGCATGTGGCTCTCTCAGCAGCTAAAACAGTACAGACAAGACAATTGTCTGCTTTCCTGTGTTTCAAGCTGAGCACTGCGCACAGGGCTGAAAAACAGGCAGTAAAATGTGGCTTTTCCTGCTTGGTGCTTACAGAGGAGAGAGACACTTATAGCTTCACGTTCTGTCTACAATAAAGCACTGTCTTTTCAAATGCCTGTTTCCTAGTTTATAGCATTCTAATTCCGCACATCCATTCCCATGTAACGGTTTTGATGAGAACTCCTAGGTGTGGGGTGGTCAGTGTAAACTTGGATCTAGGTGAAGAGAAAAAGCTTAACATTCTATTCTTCTTCAATGTTTTCCTAATAAATATAAGATCATGGTTTGTTTGGAGAATTAATTGTATCTTGCAATGAAATACAGAGTTCGTACTCTCACAAGGTACACCTCTCTTTTCTTTAACCCTAGAACAAAGGAATAAGGGTTGAGAATCGGAAGTGTAATCCTCGAAATCTTTTTTTTTCTTCTCTCTGTCACTCTGATGTCTCTTGTTATCATGTGTAATTCCAATATGATGAAACCACCACATTCACAAAGATGGAGCATTGCAGGGTCATTCTTGCACAACACAGACATACCAAGCCAGGCCTCCTTGTTTACAGATATCCCAAGTAAGGCATCGTGAAAAAGAAAATCACCTAACTTTATTATGAGACACAGGTTAAACACACCAAATAAGCAAAAGTTTAAAAAGGTAGCATAATACCAAGTATTGATATGACCCGTGAAAAAAGACCTGTCAACCATAAATTTTCTTTTTTTAAAATATATTTAATCAATTTTTTTTACAGAGAGGAAGGGAAAGGGATAGAGTTAGAAACATCAATGAGAGGGAAGCATCGATCAGCTGCCTCCTGCAACACCCCCTCCTGGGGATGTGCCCACAACCAAGGTGCATGCCCTTGACTGGAATTGAACCTGGGATCCTTCAGTCCTCAGGCCATTGCTCTATCCACTGGGCCAAACCAGTTAGGGCTCAATCATAAATTTCATAGTACCTTGGAAAACATTTGGCATTATCAGAAAATGCTGAACATGGACATACCCCATGACTATCGATTTCATTCCCAGATAATCCCTAATCATTCACACAGGAGATGTATGCATGATCACCTATGACACCCATCATTGCCTTCAATGGCTGACTGTCTTCCTATTTTCAAGAAATATTTGCCATCGTCCTTTTCAGATTTCAAAGCAAAATCTGTGCAAATATGATTTGATCTGGAAAGTAATTTATGTGAAAAGAGTTCTGCATGTTCATGAGTTGGTTTTAAAAAATTATATACTTTTGCTTGACTTTTGAATTTTTCTTAAGATTTCTTAAATGCTCCAACATGAAGAGTTGCGGAAAGAGGAGCGTGTTTAAGGCATAGATAATTGTAATATATATTTTAAAAGAATAATTAAGATCAAATAAGTTAAATGTTCTATACCAATACTCAATGAAGGTTTATAGTCTCAGATATTTTTTGTTAAACCATACTTTCCCGAAAAGTAAGGGAAAGAAAGGATAGACAAGTTCGTTAATTAATAGTGATAATCATAAGATAGCAATAATAAAGAGACAGGAATGGAAAAAGAAAAAACAGTCTGAAGTAGAAAGACAGCGGGAAAAGCAGAGAAGCCAGTCCTGATAATTATTGGCATGGATCTCATGGGCGGATTAGCATTTCCCACAAGAACATCACTAACTTCCTGTGCCAGTACAGTCTTAGGCAAGATCTTCAGTCTACATGCCAACTCTTTTTATCCTTCCTCCAACCACTTCAAACATTTCTACACCTGGGATTCGAAGGTCACTAAAAGAAAACCAACAATACTCGAAATTTAGTATTGTTTCATCCCAGAATACTTTTGTATACATGCATGTGCACACAGGCGCATGTGTACGCGCACGCGCGCACGCACACACACACACACACACACATGCACACATATCTCTATATATTTTATATAGAAAGTGACTACATGCTAAATATATATTTTCACTTATTTAATCAATGCAGAAATTTAGTAGGTTTCTGGATGGAAACTTCTGAGTGAATGTATTCTTGAACGGATACATTTGGCTACACAGGACAACCCTATTTCCTTTTGGTCAGTATTCCAGAAAGCTTTCATGATGGATTTTCTTAGATGAACACCGACTAGTTGGTGTAAACTTATATAGACGTGTGTGTGTGTGTGTGTGTGTGTGTGTGTGTGTGTGTGTGTTTATGTGTGCGTGTGCGCGCGAATGTATTTTTTAAAGAGATTTACCAAAGTGAGGAACTCTACGGCCAGGTATTGAATCACTACTCACATTGTGCTTTGTGAGGTTGGAAATATTAGTTGCTATTGCTTGTAGCCAGTCAATGCAGTCGTCAGCGGAGAGGCACTGGATGATCCCGCTGCAGACCCCGTCCACAGCAATGACTTGGAAAGCATTCTGCCTGCAGATGTGTCAGCACAGATCAGATCAAAACGTCATCTCCTGGGTCTATTTGCAAATTGAAATCAAGCCTGTTGAAAAATTCTTCTCTCAAACTATACCAAGACAGCCTCAAGTTCAGACTTGTTTGCAACTCTTAATATCTGTTTTTAAATAGAAGGTTAAAGATAAACTAAGATAGCATGTAAGTTTGAATTCTCAGAAAGCACCTGGAGATTCAGATACATTTGAAGACATTCTGAGTTATTAAATATATGTTATGTAAATAGAAGTACAACTATGATATGTTAGGACTCTTTCCCAGTTTACCATATATAATTTTCTTATACATAGAAATTTATTATTTGAAACATTGATGTGAGATACACTGGTTGCCTCCTGCATAGCCCAAACCAGGTGGGGGATTGAACCCACAACCAAGGTATGTGCCCTTGACCTAGAATCGAACCCATGATGTTTGGTTTACCTTAAAACTACATGAAAAGCCTTTAGATAACTACAACTATTGTTTGCGCAATCTTCTTTTGAATTTGTGACAAAAATATGCACGGCACAAAAAGGATGTAATGTTACATGATTTTCTTAGGTTTAATTTTAGAATCAACAGTGCGTATGACTGAAATATCTAGACAGAAGCTCAGCCATCCTTGGAAATGAGAACTAATTTGAGTTTAGCAATATACATTTCTTTCCACTCTCTGATGATTGTTAACTATTGCTTCATGTACCATGAATTAAAGTGTGTCTTGGGCATATTTGTTCATTCTGTTTTAAATGAATCATGGCAGTTTGATATTTTTAGCTGATTGGAGTTAATGCACTTAGATCAAATCTGCAATCTATGTAATCTTATATGTGACATAAGTCCCAGATAAAATAATTCTGAAGGATGAACCTTTCATAAATCCAGGGCTATATATTAACATAAATCACTTGTGACATTCTGCCTCTACTTTCCAGGTTGGCTTGGTGGAAACCCTACCATAAATAGAAGGGAAGTATTTGAAGAGCTTCTTTACTTACATACGATCTCTTATTTGGTTATTTGGGAAGGTGTTGCAAAAAATAGACTGATTAAAAAGATTACTGCTTGGGGAGAGATTTTGCCTCTACTATTGAATGAATTCGAGTGTTGATTAATTGGTCCACAGGGCCCCAATTTTCCCTAAAGGAACTCGAGAATAATATACACCAAAAAGTGGCAGGTTCTGGTCAGGACACATAACTTGGGTTGTGGGTTTGATCTCCAGTCAGGACACATGCGAAAGACAACCAATAGATTTCTCGCTCTCTTGCTCTCTTGCTCTCACTCTCTCTCACTCTCCCACCTCAAAAAAATCCATAATAGTTAAAACACACACACACACACACACACACACACACACACACACACACACACAACTTTGCAAGCCATGCTGTAACATTTTTATATAATCTTGAAAGCCTGAAGCATTGGAATGAAAGGATCTCATTTGTGTTTTAGAATGATATCTCTCTGGTGGTTAAAAAGGTGGAAAACTTAATAAGGGAAGAGAGATAAAAGAAGGATATACTTGTCATCGTGAACAATTATTTATCTTTTCTTTTTGATCCATACTATGTCCACTGCCTGTGTGCTTCTTTAGAGACGGATCCAAACACATCTCCCAATCACAAGCATGACATAAACTTTTATTGAGTGAAGGAGTGTACAATAAATTTGCTCTTGAATCTGAATTGCTGTGCTATCCACTCTGAATAGTGTCATGTTTATAACTGCCTATTACTGTATTGTTTATTGAGTGTAATTCATTCAATTGCTAAAAGCTTGATGTATATATAGGAAACTAAGATAATTATACTTACAAATTAGGGAGGATCAAAGGGCCTAAATGGAATTAATGTTTCTGTACTTCATTCAAAGTGACAAATTGTCAGTACCAGTAGAATCAGAAGATATGCATGTATACTGAAAAACTTAGAACAACTACTCAGAAAACTATGGAAAATGTAATATTCAAAAACACTATAAATAAACTAAGATGTAACCCTAAAACTGTGGGTATAGCTGAAGCAAACTTTGATGGACATGTTTAGTTCTGATTATATATATTAGGAAAATAATCTGAAAGATTAATGATCAAATGAGGGTTTGGCAAAACTGTGGCCTATGGGCTAAATCCAGCCTGTCATCTGTTTTTATAAATAAAGTTTTATTGGAAAAGAGCCATACCCATTCATTTATATACTATGTATGGCAGTTTTATTGTAAAGGGCAAACATTAAGGCCTGCAAAGCCTAAAATATTTACTATATTTACTCTTTACAGAAAACTTTCTAAGCCCCTAGAACTTCCATCTCAAGAAACTGCAAGAACAGAAAAGCAAGCCAAAGAATTTAAGGAATGAAAACAATACAAAAAAAGAAACAAGCCAAAACTAATGATTTACAATATGTACACATAACAAATAGTTTCAACAAAGCCCCAAATTAATCCTTTGAAAAAAAATAAATTACTAAAATTTACAACCCCCAGCAAAACAACCAAGAGAAAAGAGAAAAAAACAAATTTCAAGAATGAAAAGTAAGACATCACTAGTGTTCCTATACTTAAGAATCTAATACTATGAGAATATTATAACTATATTAAAAAAATACAAGAAGAAATACAAAAATTCAATAATACATTATCTATTAAAGACACTGAATCCATTATAAAATTATTATTAGAGTCAGGGTGTTAAGTGCTATTTTTTTTTAAATCAGATTAACAAATGTTTTACTGTGTTATACTCTTCTTTCTAATTTTTCTTCATACTACCAGAAATATCCTATATAATAAAAGCCTAATATGCGAAATGTCCCTTCGACCAATCACTATGATACGCACTGACCACCAGGGGGCAGACGCTCCGACTGGTAGGTTAGTTTGCTGCTGAAGTCCATCCTACTGGGTCTGGGCAAGAGGGGCAGAACATGTCCTGGAGCCCTCCCACAATCCTTCCCTAGGCCCGATCGTGTACCAGTGGGGTCCCCCAGCCTGACCTGCAGGTTGCTAGAGGGTGCAGGCCAGGCCGAGGGACCCCACTGGTGCACGAATCTGTTCACAGGGCCAATTGCGGCCCAATCCCTGCAGGCCAGGCAGAGGGACCCCACTGGTACACAAATCTGTGGGCCTCTAGTATGAAAATAAGAACCAAAAGGTATCCTATATTAAGAGTTTGACTAAAGTTCCCATTTTGAATTAAGAAAAAATCAGAACTCGGTTAACATGAACTCACCGACTCACATCTGTCCCAGGCACATACTGAGAGAAGCGGGAATGAAGTAGAGGGAGCAGCCTCAGGTCACACCACCGCTTCTCCCATCTCAGGCCTGGAGAAGTTGGCCATGAAGAACATGAGAGCGTGTCCTGAAAAGAATCCCAACATTCACTCATGTCTTTTTCTTTTTCTTTCTTTCTTTCTGTGTTTTGTGTTTCTACTTCACAAATCCTTTGGGGGGATATATTTCCCCCTAAATAATCAGAAGGTATTTACAGATTACCACAAGGAGAAGTCCATATTCATTGACAATAAGATTATATTTAACTTCTTTATTAATGGAATTCTAACAGAAAGTGCAGGAGTACATCACTCAGATTAAGGATGGTCACAGGCCTAAGCTGCAGGGGACCATCCCCCCAGTGTCCCCGGACTGTGAGAGGGACCCCTCCCCCAGTGCCTCTCACATTTTAATAAAAACCTTAGTAAAAAAAATAAAAGCCTCTTATAGTTAGCTCTGTTAGCCTTCATGTTTGTGAGCACAAAGGATAATTGTTAGTTTTACATATAACCAGAAAGAATTGTTTTGTATTTAGAATGCATGAATGTTTTAAAAGGTTTAAAAAATTGTAAAAGTCAAAACCTTATTCCAAAATACATGTGAAAATTTTTTTAAAAAATCCATTTCATTAAATATATAAAAAAACACACATGCCAATTTTATCAATCATTAAATGTATGTATAGCTTAACATTCATTATAGTCTAACATAATGTATGGGTTAGATTTCTCTCATTTTACATTAATTCCCTGATATGCATGAAGATTTTTACGAAAATCTAAAAAGTGGCAAGTAAAATAGCTTCTTTAAGCTAAATAATTTCAGTAGAAAAACGATACAAATCATGGCAAATCATTCAGAGCATGACATAACATATAACATTTAATGTCATAAAATGATTATAAGGTGTTATGCATGACCTCTTGAAGCTAAACATCTCTACAGCTTTCAGACCTCAGAGGAGAAAGATACCTGACCTACTTATGTTTTCCTTCCTGGCTTATCATAATGCTTACATTAGGAAGCCACCAAGGATTTCAAGCCAGATTCACTCTCAGGTTCTGCAAAATATAAATCACATATTTAAGCCACGCTGTGGCCGTCTTACCGTGTTAGTGGGGTGATAGTTGAGATGTAAACCGCTGTCACAGAGCGGAGAGGAGGTGCCACTGCTCTGGTCGCTTGGTGCACCTGCAGGAAACAAAACACAGCACCCCTCCGGTCAGAGGGCTGAAGGGCTCCAGGCCAGCGGTCGGCAAACTCATTAGTCAATAAGAAGTGGTGGTAGGCCGAAACCGGTTTGGCTCAGTGTTAGAGCGTCGGTCTGCGGACTGAAAGGTCCCGGGTTCAATTCTGGTCAGGGGCATGTACGTTGGTTGCAGGCACATCCCCGGTAGAGGGTGTGCAAGAGGCAGCTAGTTGATGTTTCCTTCTCATCCATGTTTCTAGCTCTCTCTCTCTCTCTCTCTTTCTCTCTCTCTTTCTCTCTGTAAAAAATCAATAATAATAATAATAATAATTTTATATATATATATATAATATTATATATATTATTATATAAATTATTGGGTAGATTTTTCAGGATGTGGAGTAAGCAATATTATTATATAAATTATTATATATATATATAATTTTATATATATATATATATATATATATATGTAGAGAGAGAGAGAGAGAGAAGTGGTGTTAGGAGAAGTTTAAGTTTTAAAAAATTGGCTCTCCAAAGAAATTTCAATCATTGTACTGTTGATATTTGGCTCTGTTGACTAATGAGTTTGCTGACCACTGCTCTAAGGTTACTAGGAAAAATGTAGATAAATATCTCTGTGGTCTCAGGTTCAGCCATTATTTTTCACAAAGTATACAGAAAGGAAAAAGCATATAAAACAAAAATAACAAAAAAATGGAAATAGATTTTATCAAAATTTAAAACTGCAAACCTAAGACAACTTTAGATAAAAAATATATAGTTATGCACAGATGAAGTGAAAATGTAACATATATAGCTGACAAAGGCTTATATACAGATTATATTTTTCAAACTCTTGCAGTGCAATAATATTATTATAAAGACATAATAATAGAAAAATGGACAAAAGGCTTGAGTAGACAAATTACAAAATAAGATATGCAAATGGCAATAAGATATGCAAATGGAACATGATAAGGAGCTAATCATCATTAGTCTTCTGAGAAACGCAAATTAAAACTATAATAAGATACCACTACACACCAATATAATGGATAAAAATAAGCTTTGACCATCAAATATTTGAATAATGTAGAGCCTCCAGAATACTCATACACTGCTGGAGTAGAAAGTAAGAGGTATTTAAATATATTCTTATTTTAGAAATATGCTTGATAATTTGTTAACAAGTTAATTATAATATTCTGTAACTCAGCTGCTCCATTTCTATATACTTATCATTGTAACATAAAACTGTCAAACTTCCAACACCTACACAAGAATGTTCATAGCAGTTCAATCTATAATAGCAAAATACTGGAAACAGCTCGGTTGTCTAGAAACAAAATAATGCAATATCAAACTACTACATTCATATGATAGAATCCAATATTACACAGCAATAGAAATAAACAAACTACTGAAAGATAAAACAATGATTGCACATACTGAAAGAAGCCAGACATAAAAGAGTAAATACAGTATAATTCTACTCTACCCAGCCTTCCCAGTAAATAACATTGCCAGAAACAATCATTGATTTCCCATTTATCATCATATCCTTGTTTCTTTTAAGGCTGGGTAGATTTTTCAGGATGTGGAGTAAGCAAACGTGTATTTGCTAGAACTGTTCCAACTATTCATTTAACGTAATTTGCATTTCATTGCATGCAAATTATGCCTGAGTTAAAAACGTATCCTTCTTTGATAGTTTCAGCAAAAATATTAGAAAATATATATTTCATAGTATGCAAATGATATAGACATTTTTAAGTAACTCTTACAAAAATTAATGTGTTTCCACAATTTCATCCAGAAAGCATGTGTCAATGCTTGTTTAGCAAGTCCAGCAGTCAAATAAATGTTCATCGTTCTCTCGTTAAAAAATTACATTCATCAAATATTATTAATAATACTTACTAGAAATACACAATGCATATATTTGATATAATACTTATTTTTTAAATAAACAATGCTTCTTCAATTAAATGTTGGAAAAGAACTATAAATGTAATGAATATATTCTGAAGTAAAAATAACACTTGTTCTTTTTCCATACGTATTAAAAGTATTCTGGCGGAAATCCACATTGGAAAAGAAATCCCCATTACTAATTAGTGTCAGGAAATAATACTTATAAAGTAAATGTGATGATTAGACCTATTCTTCTTAAATGCTTACACGCACAATCTTCATTCAGTGGGAGTTTGAGGAAAGCAGGTGCTCTCTTTAAAAAAGACACTGTTAGGGTCACTTCTTCTCCAGCATTCCTAAGAACTTGAACCTAAATTAAAAAAAAAAAAAAAAGATTACAATATTATCAGTGTGGTCACAAAAGTTTTATGGTTACAAACTCTTGAAATGATGTGCTGCCTTTTCCACCTGTCACTATTCCCCGGTGGTCAGAAATATGTTATGAAAGACAGAGGGGAATAAATAGTCTAACTCTGCAGAAATACAGCCATCAATATTCATCCTCTTTCTATCATTCTGTGGTCCCTGGTTCGCTCACAATATCATCATCTTCCATTCATATTTATGAAGGTTATCTTGAGCTTATGGTCTACATCAGATAAATGTGAACCATCACCAAGTTTACAGGAAAACGTAGTGCTCAACCCACTATATTTATTAAGTCAAAAATATTGAGCATATATGCAACATTTGGAGATCTACAAAGAAATGACCTTGTAGATGTTGTCCAGAGTGCTGATTTTATGTAAATAAAATGGCTCCAATTCACTCAAACTCTTTGCCAAAAAAGAAAGAAAAAAAAGGTATTATTTTCCCATTATACTATTGTACATTTTACTTTCCCTGGATATTTAAAATAAAAACAATACTATTATTACCAATAACTCAACCTTTCCTAAATCATGGAATCAATAGGTCTCAATCTACCAGTTAAAAGAATGGCAATTTCTTAAAAAATTGTTCCGGGACAAGTGCAGGGTACATCAAAAGAAATACAAGAAGCAGAGGATTTACTTAGAGCAAACATACCTGGAAAAGATATAAATATATTTATAATTTTAAAAATCTTGTGTAAACTAAAGAAAGAAATAAGAATAATTAGTAAACAAAGAATGTATTGCATAATCGGTGGACATAGACAACATTGTGGTGATGGCTAGAGGGAAGGGGAGGCAAGAGCTGGTGGGGGTGGGCAAAGGTCAGGGGGAATGTGGGGACATCTTTAATAGTGTAAACAAAAAAAATAAAGCTATAAAAAAGAATAATTAGTGAAAAAGTAGTTACTAGACATAGGAACATAACTGTTATGAAACAGTTATGAAAGAATTGGCTGTCAAAATAATGTACGTTAATTTCTGGTCCCAAAAAGATGCTTCACCCTCTAAAGTGCAACTATAAACATGAGGGGGAAATGCAAAAGACAACCAAAACAGAACTCTCAAAGGCAGATTTTTTAAAAAGAATTGAGTAGGGACCCCAGAACAGGGGAGGAATGTTTTAAGTGTTTTTGCCCAATGAATCCTCTCCCCACAGCTAAGTAAAACATTCTTTTATCCACTGAGACACTAGGGATAGGTCCTCTCACCTCCTCAAATAGCACCAGCAGGGAACAACAGGAGCAAGAAAAGGGAATCAGATCCGAGTAGCAACAAGAGCCTCTAAGAATTATTGATACATTGGCAATGGAACCACAGCCACAGAATTAGACCAGTATGGGTGTGCTGCAGTATGGGTAAGAGCCAGTCACTTTAATTTTTTTATTATTATTTTTTAGTCCTTTATTTCTTTTTCTTTTTTAATTGTTTAGAGTATTACAAGTAGTAGAACATATGTTTCCTTCTCTATCTCCCCCACCCCCACGGACTCCCAACTGACCTTCCCTTAGCCTCTCCTAGCCACCCTGGCAAATGCAAGAATGTTGAAATACTGGCTTGAATTTTGTTAAAAATTTTAAAGCTCAAACTAAAAATAGCTCCATCACTTTCAAAGGCCCCATTAAAATAAGATTTTATGCAAAAAGCCCGTGAAAAGTCACATCCTAGATGAGTTGAACTTTAACTCAGCTAGCAGAATGCTTTGTTCGTTAGTTGACTTAATAACAGAAATACTTTCCCACTATTTGTTTTAATCTCAAAATGGTTACCTTAATCATTCAAGCAATATTTTACCTAATTCTTAAAGAATAAATTATTCCAGCATAAAATTACTGATCTTTTCAATCCATATTATTAAGTCAAACTAAAATAAATAAAAATTAATACAAAACAGTTACATAAATAGCTTGAAGAAAATAAATAAGAGATTATTATTAATATGAATATGAACTAATTCAAAATTCACCATTAGCATACAGAATCCAACAATTGACAAATTAAACTGTTCTATGAGCCTTTATTTCAACAGAGCAAATCTGGATAAAAACCAAGAAATTATTGCCCATATAATTAATTTCATCAAGTTAAATGTACCTACATTATCTAATGAATATTATTGTGACATACTATTGTAGATGATAGAGATTAGATAGATACAAGTAGATTTTTTCTTTTTCATTGGAAATTCTCAAAGAACATTTTGTCAAACTAGGCTGCAATTCCTAATAAAAAGTTAGGAAAAACAAGAATATAAGAAAACTCATGATATTTCTTTAATATGACCGTCTCTATGTCTAGCATGGCCCTTTTCTACACATTTGCATGGCTAAATCTTTACCTCCTTCTACTCTCTGCTCCAAAAACATTCCAATGAGTCCTACCTTCATCGGCTTATTTAAAATTAGAGCTCTCCAAATCCTTTCTTGCCTTGTTTACCTGCTCTGCCCATGGTTCTTCATGGTCAATTGCACCTTGTAATCTATGGAATACTGTGCTAATATGTAGTCTGTCTCTGCTCCATGAAATGGTGTGCTACACAGGGGCAGCGAGCTATATCTTGTTCACAGATGAATTCAAACAGCTAGGCCTGGCAGCTGGCCCATAAATATCATCATTATAGACTTTAGAATGAACACCCTTAATAAGTTAATTTTAATAAGCAATAAAATTATCTTAAATGTTCAAAGAATCAGACCATGTCGTTTAAAATCGGGCACTGAATAAAGATGCTGACTGTCTTCATTATATTTCAAAAATTGTTCTTAAGTTCTTACAAATACAGGATAGGAAAATGAAATTACTTTCATAAATATTAAAAAGCAATGGAAGGTGGGAGAAAAAGGCATATTTTACAGGTTGGACATGCTGTATTGTACTTTTATATAGAGTTACGATATGTTTAAGGCAGGATAGTGAGGTACAAAACATCTCCATATTTATCTGGGAAAATACAGAGTTATTAAAATAACCTCATACGGATGAAAATATTTTGTATAATCGCACTTGACTGAAATAACGAATGCACATATTTATTCTAAATGTATGATATTAAAAACCATAGCTACATGAACATCTAGGTTGTAAACAGTGTACAGAATTAAGTCGAATTTTGAAGGAAAATGGGGAAATCATAACTCTCTTCCTTATGTTTTTTAGATTCTGTATGATTATCTCATACAAAATGAATTGTCAAGATCTGAAAAAACAAACACTATCACATCCACATTAGATTTGCAGCTGCAGCATACAATTACTAAATATCTGTGTATATTAACATGTTTGCAGAACACAGACCTAAGAAGTAAACATTTTAGAGTTGCTTGTGCTGTTTCCTGCCATATACTGTCATTTTAACCTATTGTGTAAGTCAATTTACTTATTTTAAATGCCCTGCCCCCTCCATAATACTCATTGAGTGTAGTATCCTCTGATACCATGAGTATCATTGAGGGGTCACCAGATTAGCCTATGCCAGCATTTCCTTGGTTACAGAACTTTGCACAAGGGAAACACAGCTGTACTTGCCAGGGGAAAATAGTAGTGTCTTTGGGAGTCTGATCATTTCAAATACCTAAAAATAGATGTGTATGCCTCAAATATAATATAGTAAATGAATATCTCAAATAGAATATATTAGAATAGGGAGAAAATAGTTTGCCTTATATATTGTTAAATACATGAAGAAACTTACCATGCACAACAATACCGGAGAGATGACAACTGTATATCCATCAGATATTTATGGAATTATGCATAATGCATATACTTCATGAGAGGCATTTACTTTATTTGGAAGCCATATATGTCCCCATCTTACTTATATGGAAATTACTAAAAATATATAAGGATGCAAATTATAAAAGTATTTTCTTCTTAACCTTCTCTCTCATCTAGTTTTCTACTTCTATTCCGACAAAGTCCTTAAGGACACTCCTTAATGACAAAAAAAAACCAAAAAACAAACCCACAAAAACAAAAGAACAGCCAAAACTGGTTTGGCTCCGTGGATAGAGTATCGGCCTGTGGACTGAAAGGTCCCAAGTTCGATTCCGGTCAAGGGCACATACCTTGGTTGCGGGTACATCCCCTGTACGGGGTGTGCAGGAGGCAGCTGATCGATGTTTCTCTCTCATTGATGTTTCTAGCTCTCTATCCCTCTCTCTTCCTCTCTGTAAAAAATCAATAAAATATATTAAAAAAAAAAAAAAAAAAGAACAAACCAACCAACAAAAAACACTCCTTAGGAAAACTTTCTGCTCATGCACTCGGGGTTCATTAGCACCTTCATTCTTCCCCAAACTGCCAGGAAAGGGGTAAACACTAATGACAATTTGCTAAAAATAGTTCCGGGCCAGTCTATTTTTAGATTAGCCTCTACATAAAGCCACAGTTTGTCAGAGAACATCTAGAGTCTTGAGTATGTCTTGTGACCTCCTAGCAATGCTTTAGTAACAGGGAATTTAAGCTCTAGCCCATTAAAGGAATAGAAGCGAATGAATGCCATCTATAGACTTTTCACTTGGGACATAAAATAAAAATGATTTCTATTCAGACAGAGATTTTAAGAAGGATTTTTTTTTTTAGAGCATTTAAACTCACAGAGAATACTTTCCAGTGAAACAGCCTTGGAGAGAAGGACTGACTGTAATTCCCACAAACATTTCCTTTGAAAAGCAGGTGAGCATCAGGGAAGCCGGACTCCCTGCCCGGATGGAGTGTTAAAGACACTAGACGTGCATGTCTTTGAAATTCCCTTATTGTCATGCCACCTGCCTTGGTTCTATGTGAAGTGCTGAGTACAACAAGAGCATGTGTGCCAGTAATAACAGGAGGAAACAAAGCTTTACTTCCATCTCTATTATTGCTCCGTCTCCATGGCAACCTGGGGCAGCCATAACCCCAGGTGGTGCTGGTCCACAGCTACAACTTAGAGAGA